GACATTTTTTATAAGGCTATGGTGCATATGTATGCATTTTTTTTGAAATATGAATTATTGAATATGTGTTCTATTAATAACTTCAATTCAGATACATGGGGCCAGATTCATTCCAACACATCACATGCGTGCAGTGAAACTTGTTTATAATTAGTAATTACATTATATTCTAAAATAGCAGTTAATTTAATTTTCAATTAAGCTTATTATTATATCATCATAAAAGTCTAGCTTTCTCAATTTTCTAATCAGCTACTGTATTTATGGCATTGTGCAACTTCACATGAATAAGGGGTTTATACTTGTTTTAGCATTCCTTTTTTATTCTTTGTTAATTCGAATATATAACACCTTAAACTGTGCAAACATAAATTAAAATCTATGCCAACTTGTCTATATATTGTTACTTGTATAAAATTCTTTGAACTTTACTAACACCATCTAACAAAATCTAAATGCCTGTTGTATTTGTGCACATTAAGACAGAAAGTGTAAAAGTAAACTGGATTGGCATTTCTGTACCTAGGAATGTTACAGTAAAACAGTTTTATGAAGATTTTGTTGCAGGAAAAATTGTTTCTGAGGTTCAATTAAATAATAAAGACCGTTTGCTACCAGTTAAAGTAGAGTTTTCACACAACACAACTGGGTCTTTTAATGCTGTCAGTATGGAATGTAACATGATTGAAGCAATTGAAGCTTGGGGTAACAGAGTACAGTATTATCAAACAAATAGTTCGACATCATTATCTTCTGAAATACCAATTAATGCTTTTGAACAAATGATGAATAATGCTACTATCTTGAATCATCTACCAACTTTTACTATCTCTGAAAATTCAACCACACTAGAAGAATTAAAATATAATATTGTTGAATGGATTCATATAAATAATGGTAGATGGAGCAAAGATATTGCTATAACAACTGGAAAAGAATTTGTTAAAGACTTGCAGCTGCATTGTGGTATGTTGATAAATGTGATTCAGAAAAGTTAAAAAATCGGGGTTGTAATATTCCTGCTGAAATGGAACAGTTTATTGGACGCTATAATATAATTCGCTCTAAAAAAAAGAAAGAACAATTTGATAAAACTACACTTGCATATCATTCAAATATTCTCTTCAAATACACAAGATCTGCATGGATTAAAAAAC